CAAATACCTGTTTCTTGTTCACTCAGAGGAAGATATGACTTTTCTGGTGAAAATGGGTTGACTGACTTTTCTTTTATTATTTTTTAAGTGAGATGGAAAATAAATATGAAAAATTTATGTTAGATGTCACATCATTGTTGAGTTAATTTTCTGTTAAATACTAACGGTCAACACTAACTGAAATTAGCTCGTATAAGGATTGTTATATTGAATAATTTATGACAGAAATGACATTTTTGGATACTTATGATTTTGTAGTGAAATTAGGCCTAATTATAATAATTCAAAATTATGTAATATGTGGAATTTAAGAATCTTTGAAGTTTATTTATGCTGATTGGGCGCTGACATAGCGGGTTAATCGTCCAACAAAATGGTCAAATATTAAGTTTGGCCAATTAAGTAAAGTTGAGGGTCAATTCAGACAACTGTTATATATTTAATATTTTGACAATCATGTTAAAGATGAGAAAAGTTTGAACTAAACAAATATATTAACCCATTTCCTTAAAACAAAGAATTTTCATCCTAGTTGTCGTTGTCCATAGAACTATTAATTGCATTCGTACATTAATTTTCTTATATAAAAGATATATATCCATTGGGATAGAATGGAAATTGATTTTTTGTTATTTGAACCTATCACAAGGTGGTGCTACTAGAGGAGAATGAGGAAATGTCGTTACTGGGATTGAGCACACGACCTGACAAAGGGAATTAAGCATATGTTTGACCCAATTTTTAGAAGTGTTTTTCGGCTGTAAAAATTGAAGTAGAGCCAAACGCTTCTAAAGTTCAGCTTTTGAAAAGCTGAAAAACGTTTTTGTATAACATAAAAGCATAAACTCCGATTTGGAGCTTCTGCGAAAAGCTGTTTTGAAAATACGGGGTTGTTTGCTTGATGGATTTGGAACCATGGTGGATTTTGTCAAAAATTCATTGTTTGCTTCAAGTATTTAGAGGTGTCAAATCCATGGGATCTATGGACTTTGAAGGTCCAAATTCGTGGGCCCCACGGATCTGAAAATCTCACCTCTTCTTGTTTGCCTGATGGATTTGGTGAGGGATTTTAATCCATCATGGATTTTGTCCACAATCCATTGTTTGCTTCATGCATTTAGGGACAACAAATTCGTGGGTCCCATGAACTTTAATGGTCCAAATCTGTGGACCCCACGAACTTGAAAGTTCCATCTATTTAGATGAGAATTGATCATGGACTTTGAAGTCCATCATTTATGACCAAACTACTCCTCCTATTTCATTTCTCTTCCCATACCAATGAGGGCAATAAAGGTACATTTCACTTCATACATACAAATCTAATTAACCAATTCCATCATGAAATCTATGAGACAAACATTGGTATTCTTCAAATCCATGATGAACCCAAAACCCTCATATATTCATGGTTTTACAAAATCCAAGTTTTACCAAGACCTTCATTTTTCAAATCCACGAAGCAAACGACCCTAGCTATGTGCGAATTGATTATGGACTTTGAAGTCCATCATTTTTTACTAACATACCCTTCATATTTTCTTTCTCTTCTTTTATCATTGAGGGCAATAAAGGTAAATTACACTTCATACATACAAATTTAATTAACAAAATCCATCATGAAATCCATCAAACAAACAATGGTGTTTATCAAATCCATAATTAACCTAAAACCCTCATATATCCATGGGTTTTCAAAATCCAAGTTATACCAAAACCTTCATTTTTCAAATTTACAACGCAAACGAGCCCGTACAAGATTATCCATATCATATTTTGATTTTATTTTATAATATATAATTTTATTTCATTTATATCATTTTAAAACTAAAATTAATTATAAAATTATATTATTTAACACAAAAGAAATCTAACAAGATCTTTTTTTACTAATTTTTATTGTTTATAATTTTAATTCATATTTTATATTATAAATCCTTTATAGTCATTTTACATAACATCTCATATTAGAAAAAATACTTCTAATAGTTTTTTTTATGAATGGTTAGTTATATATTAATCATAAAAAAATCCAGTTACTTTGTGGCAACACCCCCTGCCACTGAGGTTATAAAACCAACACCTCTAACCACCTGCAAACTAACTATAAAGAGCCAAGAAATCTATAGCAACAAACAATCATCAGATGCACTCGAAAGAAAAAATCAACCTCCACTTCTTCACACGCAATCTGAACTTCATCCTTAATCGTCTTGACAGCTTCACTAAGACTTAAAACCGCCCCTCCAAACCTGACCAAGCATATCATCCGCCAAATATTACTGATCATAGATTGCCAAATCATTCTGCCAGCCCTTGAATGAGGAGCAGAAGTTGAAAAGGAATCAATAGCCCACTTTAATTCAGTAGACCATAAGTTTGTGGGAGCTCTAGTGTAGAATCTAGAATAAAGCTTTTTGAAAAGTTCCTTATACTTGCAACACTCTGCAAACAGATGGTTTAGAGTCTCAACTCTGCAATCACAGTAAACACAAGCAGTTACCCCTTGGAATCCCCAGTCGGCCATTTTGTCACAAGTAGAGATAAACTGTTTAATGATAAGCCAATTGATAAAATGATTACGAGGAATGATAGGAGTTTTCCAGATCAATTTAAACCAAGGTACTTCAGGACTGTGAGGTCTGAGTTCTTCCCAAATCTGCTTGGTTGAAAATTTCTTCATAAGTTTCCCCTTCTAGTACCCCTCTCCATTCTGAACAATCAACTTGTGTTGGATTAAATCCCTTGTTTTGAGCACCTTAAGCCACAACCATGAGCCTGTTTTACATGTAGAAGCCCAGAAGTCAGTACCATGAAGCATGTACTCCCATATCAAAGCAACCCAAAGGGACCCTTGCTTTGTAAGAAGATCCCAAATATGCCTCACAATGCAAGCCAGGTTCCAACTTTTCATGTCCCTTATACCCAGGCCACCCTCTCTTTTAGGGAAAGTCAGCTTCCCCCATGCTGCCACTGCTCTTTTCTTCCCTTCTTTGCCCACTCCCCACAGAAAATCACTACACATTTTTTCAATTTCCATTATCACTTTCTTAGGCAAGATAAACACTGTGGAATTGAACCATGCTATATAAAACTGAGAGTACCAATTGGAATATTCATGCATAACTCAGAGTTTTCACCCCCCAGTTCTGGATCTTTTTAGCTATTTTGTCAATTAAGGGACGACAAGCCTTGGTATTCAACTTTCCAGGGACTAATGGGTTTCCTAAGTACCTAACAGGAAGGGTGCCTAGCTGATATCCAGCTCTGGCAGCCATGCTCTCCTGCCAATCCTTAGGTAACCCACAACAATAGAGCTCACATTTAGCTGGATTAGAAACTAAACCTGAGAGCACCCTGAACTGGCTAAGAACCTCTTGAATGCATTGAATGCCATAGTTGGAACCATCAGAAAAAAGCAGTAAATCATCAGCAAACATAAGGTGGGTTCATCCTATCCTTTTGCACATTGGGTGAAAAGGCATTCTATTTTCCTGAACAACTTGCTTCATAAGGCAACTAAAAACCTCCATTGCTACAGCAAATAGATAAGGGGAGAGGGGATCTCCTTGTCTTAATCCTTTCTTTGCTGAGAAATAACCAACCACTCCTCCATTGAAACCAACACTGATTTTAGGTGTTGTAAAACACATTGTAATCCATTTAATGAAACTTAAAGGTATATTCATGGCCTCTAACACAGTGGAGAGGAATGTCCAATCCACAGAGTCAAATGCCTTCATTAGGTCCACCTTAACCATACACCTAGGAGACATATTTTTCTTACCATATTTCTGTACCATTTCATGAGCAAGCAGAATGTTTTCTCCTATGATTCTTCCTTTAACAAACGATGTTTGGTTCTCACTAATCAGATGAGGCAAGCATTCACTAAGCCTAGAAGAAATGATCTTTGCTATACATTTATATAAAATGTTCAGATACTCTATCTCAATTTCAAACGACGGATCATCATCAGGGTAAAGTCAATCTTTATTCGGAAATCCACAATCAGCTGCCAGATCAATACAAACCTTTGCAAAACCCAATTGAGCCCCAACCCTAGTAGTCTGGTCCATCCAGAGCGGAGCTCCAATTGTACTTGCAATCCATTCATGCCCCTCGAAGGAGTGATACTCTAACGGAATACCCCACAACTTAACCGAAATCGGTAAGGATTCAACAACAGGAGTAACAGGTTGAATCCCGGGAAACCACTTCCGAAAATAAACCGGATTACCTTGGAAATGCCACAGTCCCGACTTGAATACCCATTTCCCAGTAGCTGCCGAAGGAAACTGAAACACCATCAAACGAGGGTCGAATTTGGAGACACGAACCACTCCGTCTCTCCCCCACAGACTGGTAGCCCATTGCTGAAGAGCTGCCGGTTTTGGAACAGACCCAACAAATTGAGCTATGAGACAGTCCTTCCACCTCTCCTCTCCCCGCTTTTTGACTTCACGAGGAAGGCGAAAACCATCATTCTTCTTCTGAGGAGGGCGATACGTCATCTCGTTTGCCGGATCCACCTCAAAAGTTTTTCACCCACACACTCAACTGTATTTTTTGATAAGTGCTTCTCAAAAAGTTCCAACTAAACCTGCTTCTACAAAAGCTAACGCAGAGCCAAACTCTAGCTCTAAGTGTTTCTTTAAAAAACAATTCAACATATTTTGGTTTCATTCAACACTTTACACCCACATTATTATGATGGGCACATGCATCTTCTAGTTGGATCGATCGTGATTTATAATAACACCAACTCATTTTAAATGGAAAATAAACAGCGACATTTAAAGTCAACAACTGGCAGGCCCTTCATCTTAATCCACTTAATTATTGAAAAATCACACGTACGCTGTGATGATCTATACAATTATTGATAATTAACCCTTAATTGGGGGGTTACAAGTTACGACGAAATAATTCTACATATAATAATACTATAAATTCATGCACACTCACCACATGCAATAAAACTACTTTTTTTTTAGAAACAATAAAACTACATATTAGTATTACATACACTTACAAATAAAATATAAATAGACTATGCATTATACTTCCCGACTCAGATGCAATCCAAATTTATTTGAGATGAAATTCGAAAAGAAGAAAAAACTGGACGAGAAACCAGAAAAAGTCAACAGCCAGATCTAGCCGGTTCCAGGGCGGGAGCCTCTGGGAACTCCAACATTTCTGTTTTGGACGATTCTCAGTACCTGCAGCATCCAATTAGATTACATCACACATTAGTATACAATATTTAAGCTAATTAAGCACAAATCAATCAATAGGTACGTTCATCTCAGTATATATAATACGAATAATATGAAATTACAGTAGAAATGAATTAGAGCAAAGTTAATTAACCGACTTAAAACTTCTGTACTTGATTGGGCTATGGTTTACGTGGTTGGGTTTTTCCCAAAACCGCAAAATATTTAAGCTAATTAAGCACAAATCGACCAGCCTTATAGTACGTTCATCTCGGTATAACATGAAAATACTGTATAGAAAATGAATCTTGAGCAAGTTAGATTACCCGATCTAAAACATCAAAACCTGAGAAAGAGATTTGCTCGCAACTGCTCGAGTACAGGTAGTGGAAAACTCAATCTAGCTAGTATGATATCTAAGTGTACATCTTCTCCAATTTTTCTCTCTCTCGTATTTCTCGAATAATTAATATCTCTTCCGAAAGCAAAGCAAGCGTATACGATTCGAATTAGAGACCAAATAATCATCTCTTGTTAATCGAAATCTTACATTCGTTTCGACGAAGATTATAGCTAGAATCAAGTTAGGTATATATGTTACCTGGACAGATTCATACTCGGCTTCTCCGACATAAAGATCTTCCTTAGCTCCACCGACGAAATGGACTTTATTAGCTTCTTCTTGCACATAAACCACCTCATCACCACCACCATCAAGCTTCCCTACAAGTCGAAAACACAGCCCAAATCAGGAAGAAATTAAAAAAAAAAAAAAAAGGTTTGGCAAATTAATTAGATACAAACTAATTGGTTAGTTAGTTAGTTAGTTACCGGCCGCAGCTGCCGGCGCCGGCGAGATGGGCGCTTCGACGGTGGCTGGTCGGCCGCCGCACTTGAGAGCTCCGACAACGTTCAGGAACCCGGTCTTGAGACCTCGAACTAGCTTCGCCATTTCTTCTTCTTCTTCTTCTTCTTCTTGGGATGGGTCTCTGCCGGCCTGTGTTTGGTTTCTTTGGGAAGTTTTGGAGGTCAATGGGATTGGTTGGTTACCTTAAAATTATATAGAGGCAGAGGGGAAAGTGTGGGAGTAGGTATCTCCATTGATTTTTTTTTTTTATAGTTTTGTTATAATGTGCTTGGTTCCTATTGAGACGGTCCACGTACGTTGATTGATGGACCATGTGATGTGCATGGTTTATTATAAAATAATAAAATGCCTACTATTTTGAAAATATTATCATAAACAAATCGGAATTAATAACTCGAGTGGTTGGTGTTAGTAAACGGTATATAATCCACGATTGAACCTCTCCCAACAACTCGAGTTATTGGGATCAACATATGAGCGCTTGACATGATATCATAGCCTTCTGTGACCGAAAGACCTCTTGTTCGAATTCCGATGACCCCCATCTGTTTCTGTTAAGCACATGGTGTCCGGACCTGTGCCTGTGCAAACTCCAAGCCTATCTGAGTGGCTTAAGTTTGAGGGTGTGTGTTAGTAAACGGTATATGATCCACTATTGAACCTCTCCCAACAACTCGAGTTATTGGGATCAACTGGTTCTTGACAGTTGGAAGAGGTTTATAAATCATAACATCTTTCTTATATACTTCTTCAAAACGAAAGTCAACATACGAGCTTGAAATTTTGCGCAGGCATTGCCCGTTGGCCATAGCCTGTGTTTTAAGACTAACAATTAATATTAGGAGATGTGAGAATCTGAACAAGTGACCTGAAGGGCAAACCAATTTTGATACCATGTTATACCCCAACGAGTCTAAAAAAAACTCGAGTTATTGAGAGAGGTTCATGTATGGATCTTAATCATTTCCTTACATATTATCTAAAATTGACATCATTTCATAGATCAAAATGAACTCGTTACATCTGTGAATTTTTCTTTTTATACAAGTTGAAAGAATATAAGAATTCAAGTAAAAATTACGAAGAATGAGTCACACAAGGTGTACTAAACTAAGTAAGATTCGTGCTTTGCTCTATATTAATCATAAAATAGAGTACCTTCTCAATACTAGTCGAGACAACTCGATCAAATTAATTTAGATTAGTCAAGTGATGGGACTACATACACATAATGTAATTCTAACCACAAAAAAGAGAGACTAGCTTAGCTTATTGGTTACTTTTCTTTTTCTTCAATAATTTCCACCATTGACTTTCATTGCAATGGGAAGTGGCATATACAAATGTACACATACGTACGCAAGTCACGACACATGAGATTAAACCAAAACAAAAGTAGGTTGGTCCTTTTTTTCTTAAAATTTCAACAGCTGGTCCAACCCGTACATCATTAAGCACCATTTTGACTAGTCAAACCAACCTAATTACTTACGCGGATTGCTTGACCACACGATTCAAATTACAAAGCCTTGGGATCTCCAACTGTACACAGACACAGTCGTACTATTTGTTTTTGGGTGGTTAAAACTAGTAAAAGATTAATGAAGTTGTTGAACTCCGTCATAAGCTCTCTACACCGTGGCCCGCCTCTATAGTCCTCATCAGAACTAACAAGATTAAAATCACCCAAGATGAACAACGGCTCATCATATCTTCTACAAATGAACTCAAGTTCCCTGATAAAAGCCAATTTGCCTTCCTTCTCATGAGGTCCGTACACAATCACAACAGCCAGGATGATACTAGTCCGAGTTGACTGAAGTCGGACAGCAAGCGAGAAATCGCCCTCCCAATAATCAATTGAACTAAAGTCCATCTTATCCCAAAAAAAATTGCAATACCGCCTCTGGTATCCACAACATTTTTCGCAACCCAACCAGAAGACCTACTGCCACTGACAAAAGAAATTAAAAATTGTGAGCACGAGCACCATTTTGTCTCAACCAAACCCACCACTAACGCCCTGCATCTCTTAATAATGGCCTTGACCCTTGCCCGCTTATCAGGAGCGCACAATCCACAAACATTCCACGCTAAGACTGACCCACTCATTATTGAGAAACGACGGGTTCGCCTTCTCACCCTCGGAGAAAGGGACGAAGTTGAAAGCACTCCCAACCTGTGCTCTTCCATCTGCAGCTTGGACCTACGCACCCTTCCTTTCCTAGCTCTAGCGCTATAGGTCACTTCTTCCAATTGTTCCTCAACACCCTTGGCCTGGTCGATCTACCTCTTCAATGAGCTCTGTTTACTCGTAGCAGCGGTGGTTCGAACGCCTCACTCTCACGAATTGATAGGGCACTGGTGAATTTGAGTTTTGATGAGTCTTACTCCCCTGGCCCTGTTCAGGCGTTCGAAAGAGCCGAATCGGATCATAGTCCGATTCTGTTGCAGTGGGGGATGTCTGATAAGTGATAAGATTCATAGACCTTGGCGTTTTGAGAATATGTGGTTGCTCGAGGAGGGTTTCCTGCAAAGTTTGATTGGATGGTGGAGTATTCCTGTGAGGGGATCGGGTCTCTTGTTTTGTGCAGGGAAGAGGCTAAGGCAAACCAAGCAAATGATAAAGATTTGGAATACAGAAGTGTTTGGAAGAACACAACTCAAAATTGAGGGTCTCCTTAAGAAGATCAAGGATCTGGATGATGCTGAAGAAAGGGATCAATTGTCTGAGCTTGCCATTAATGAAAGAAGTCTATTAAAGTGTGAACTGGATCGGATTCTTCTGATGGAAGAAATTTCGTGGCGGCAAAAATCTCGAGAGCTTTGGCTGAAATCGGGGGATAAAAACTCGGGTTACTTCCATCGAGTTGCGAATAATAATCGCAGAAAAAATTTTATGCTTGAAATAAAGGTTGATGGAGTTCGTGTTCAAGCCAAGGAAGCTCTGAAGAGGGTTTTTATTAACCATTTTCGAAGTAGGTTTCAAGAAGATAATGAGCAGCGTCCTTTCCCGGAAGACTTCAAAAGGAATTCGTTTAGTCTGGAAGAGAACTATCAGCTTACAGTTCCGTTTTCAGAGCCTGAAATTTGGAAAGCTATTTGTTCGTGTGGTTGGGATAAAGCGCCAGGTCCGAATGGATTTACGTTGGATTTCTTCAGGAAAGCTTGGAACATCATTAAAGCAGATATTATCAAAGCTTTGGATGAATTCTACATTACAGGTACCCTTCCTGATTCGGTGGCTCATTCTTTCTTGTGCCTGATTCCGAAGAGGGATGCAGCTGAAGAGGTTGGAGACTTTCGTCCAATCAGCCTTGTGGGTAGCCTCAATAAGATCATCTCGAAGCTCCATTTCTTGCGGCTCCAGCCGTTCATGAGGAATTTAATCTCCAGGCAGCAGTTTTCGGGTATTAGAAAACAGCAGATTCATGAAGCAGGGCTCATTGCCAACGAATTGATTGACAGCAGGTTGAGGAGTGGGCGCCCAGGCCTTGTCTTTAAACTTGATATTGAAAGAGCCTTTGATTCCGTGAACTGGGGGTGTCTTTTCAACGTGCTCTCTAATAGGGGTGGCTATACGGTCCGGTCCGGTTAAATTGGCCCAAATTGATCCGGTCCAGTCCGGTTTTTTTGAAAATATAAGGACCAAAGATTGGATTGGATACAGTCCGGTCTTGATCCGGTCCGGTCTTGACCCGGTCCGGTCCCAATTCGATCTTGATTTTATATTGAGATTGTGGGAATTTGAGTGGCCTAAGGCCTAAAAGGGTGAGGAGTTGGTTAAGTTTTGTACTAAGTGCAAAGGTTTGTGACCGTTTATGCAAATTACACTTAAGTTTTGGGTGTTGAGCTCTCTTATCCGGTCTTTATCCGGTTTTTTACCTCAAATCTAAGCCAAAGATTGGATTGGATTGTTTACTATCCGGTCCCGGTCCGGTCTCGGTCCGGGTTATACGGTCCGGTTTCCGGTTTTTTATCCGGTCCCGGTCCAAATAGCCAGCCCTACTCTCTAACATGGGTCTTGCCCCGAGGTTCCAAAAATGGATTCGTGGTATTGTTTGCTCTTCCAAACTGTCTGTCTTAGTGAACGGTGAAGCCGGTGGTTTTTTCGGTGTCCAAAGGGGGCTGAAACAGGGGGATTCCCTATCTCCCTTCCTATTTAATTTGGTCATGGATGTCCTTGACTTCTGTCTTCACAAGCTGCAGGAGGCTGGTTCTCTTAAGGGGTTCCACATGGATGAGTCAAGTGGTCGTGGAGCGGTCAATCATCTGTTATACGCGGATGATGCGATAATTTTTTGCGATGCAACAGAAGATGACGTTTTTAATCTTGCTGCTGTGCTCGTCTGCTTCCAGTGTATCACGGGCTTGAGGGTGAACCTTGCGAAGAGCTTGCTCTTCCCGGTTGGGGATGTGGAGGGTATGGACAGGCTGGCTGAAATCAAGGGTTGTAACTGGAAATTTTTTTCCTCGAATTACCTGGGTCTGCCCCTTGGGGCTTCTCCTAAGAGTGCCTCAATTTGGAATAAGGTTATTTGTAAGGTTGAGAATCGACTGGAAGGGTGGAGGAGCAAGTACCTATCACTGGCTGGCAGGATTACTCTTTGCAATGTCGTCCTGGATGCTACTCCGGTATATATGCTAAGCTTATTTTCGGCTCCAATATCAGTGATCGAAGCCTTGAAAAAATTCAAAGAAATTTTATCTGGTCTGGTTCGAGTGGTGAGAAGAAACTCCACCTTGTGTCTTGGGATAGATGCAAAGCACCAAAATGTCTTGGAGGGTTGGGGATTACTGATATTAGAACTCGAAATCAGTCTCTTCTTTGTAAATGGTGGTGGCGATTTGCACAGGAAAGAGATTCTTGGTGGAGGGAAATGATCAATATTAAATTTCCTAATCCGGTATCAGAATGGATGTCGGGTGATCCCGGAGGCGGCGCAAGGCTTAGCCCTTGGAGACAGATCCTGAAACTGAAGAAAATCTTCTGGAATTTGGCGCATATTGATCCTGGAGCCGGTTCCGGTACCTCTCTTTGGTTTGATGTGTGGTTGAAGGGTAGGACTCTGGCCAGTGACTTTCCCAGAGTTGTTGCTGCCACGGAAGTGCCAGGATGTCGGATTTCAGATGCTGCAATTTTTGAAGAAGGGAGAGTTAATTGGGTCATTCCTCTGAAACATATCTTGAGAGGGGGGGGGGGCAGAGAGTGAGAGGGTGAGGTTGTA